GGGGGGTGAGCGCAGGGGCTCCGGGGGGCCGGACGTGTGGGTTCGACAGGGTCTGACTGCCTCCCCCCTCCGCAGACCCCCCCGAGGTGACCATTGACGGCTATGACGACAACTGGTACCTGAGCCGCAGCGATGCCATCCTGACCTGCGTCGCCAAGGGCAATCCTGCGCCCTCCCAGTACAGCTGGAGCACGAGGTGACTGGGGGCACTGGGAGGGGCCCGAATGCCTGGGTTCTCTGCCAGGGGTGTTGGCACTGGGGGGTGAGATGCGGGGCTCGGACACCTGGACCCAACTGGGGGGGTGCCACCCCGCCACATCCCTGCCTGGGACCCGGGACGTCCCCGCGGCGCTGGGATGGAGCTGAGCCGGCTCCACTGCCCACCCTGGGCAGGACCCACTCCTGGCCCTGCTGAGTCCTGGGCTGGGGGGAGGGCTGCCCCGCCGCCTGGGGCCTCCCTGCGCCTGGGAGCGGGGCTGGCTCACAGCCGGGGTCGGGCAGCCCAGGCACCTGGGTCCTCTGACCCCCTCCCCTCCCCGCAGCGCGGGCGGGCCCCTGCCCCCGGCGGCGGAGGTGCGCGGGCCGCAGCTCCTGGTGCGCTCCGTGGACGCGTCTGTGAACACGACCTTCGTCTGCCGCGTCTCCAACCGCGTCGGCACCAGCGCAGCTGAGCAGCTCATCCTGGTGCGCGGTGAGTGCCGGGCCCCACCTCTGACCCTGCGGGGTCGCGGCGCCTGGGGTCACGGGGGGCACTCTGGCCCCGGGGTTGGTGCCCCAGGGCGTATGGGAGCGGGGGGAGGGGGAAGCAGTGCATTGTGGGAAGAAAGGCTGGCGCATGCTGCTGCCCAGGTGCGTTGCAAGAGCAAGGTGAGGTGCCCTGGGGCATTGTGGGTGTTTGCGTGGGGGGCTCTGGTGCCTCACGGCAGGAAGGAGTTGGCCTGTGCCAGTGCCCAGGTGCATTGTGGGAGCGGCAGGGAGGTGCCCCATTGCATTGTGGGAGGGGAGAGGCTGGCATGAGCCAGTGCTCTGATGCATTGTGGGAGTGGGGGTGACGTGCCCCTGTGCATTGTGGGAGGGGAGAGGATAGCCTGCGCCACTGCCCAAGTGCATTGTGGGAGTTAGGGCATGGTGCTCAGATGCACTATGGGAATGGGGGGTGCCCCCGTGCATGGTGAGGGGGCGGGGATGGCCTGTGCCCTGCCCCGGTGCATTGTGGGTTGTAGGGGCTGTGCTTCTGCGCCAGTGCATTGTGATGTGGGGGAGGGGGGCACATGTGCGTTGTGGGAGCAGATGCCCCAGTGCATGGTGGGAGGAGAGGATTTGGCTTGCGCCGTTGCCCCAATGCATTGTGGGAGCATGGTGAGGTTCCCCATGCACGTGGAAGGAGGGGCTGGTATGTACCATTCCCCAAGTGCATTGTGGGATGCAGGGGTCTTGGCCCACTGCCCAGGTGCACTGTGGGACACGGGGGTCATGCTCCAGGGGCCGTGAGCTGCATGCAGATGGGGGAGTCCCCCTTAGCCCCAGGAGCTGGCTCTGGCCCCCCGGGGTCCCCAGGACCCCCCTGGCTGTCCCCCCCGGGGTCCCCAGGACCCCCCGGCACCCCTTGGCCACGCCTCTGCCCGCCCGCCTGACTGGTCTTTTCTCCCTGCAGAGCGACCGGCGCTGCGGCGCAGCGGGGAGGCCGGCGCGGGGGCCGGGGCTGTGGCGGGGGG